ATATACGTACACGGTGGACGAGGTAGCAGTAGCCTCACGGGCACTGGACCTGCTGATATTCCTGGCGTGCTCTCTCACTCTCGACTTGGCGTCGACCATCGACGCGCTTGCGCTTGCCGCGGTAGAGCGAGCACGGACGAACTGCGTCGGAGAGACCGCCTTGGAGGCGGCTGGCACGCGCATCCTGGAGGCTGAGAGGGACATGCTGGCGACGACGACGACGACGAGAGCGACGACGGCGAAGAGCAAGGGAGCAGTCAGAGGAAAAGTGGGGCAGAGTCAGACCGGACTTGAGTCCGTCCAAGTCTATAAACTCGACGTCCGAGTCATTCCCACCGAGATTCTCGCTCCTCGCCGAGTCACCTGATTCTCCATAAATGTTCACCCTAATGCGGGGTTAGGTCTGGGGTTTGCCGCCTTCAACGCAAGCTTTCCCACGTCCATAAACGCAGGGTCCAGTCGACTGTCGACGATTAGCGACTGGTAAGTAGGGCGTACAAAGACCAGCATCATCGAGAGTCTTTACTCCTCGAGCTCAACCCAGCTGGGTAGAAGGCTCAAATTCACCACTTCGTGGTCTCATGCGTGACATAAACTACTTATGTACGACCATCATATAGATGCCGACAGACTCGAATATTCCGGTGTACTCTACATTCGATTGCGGTGGAGGAGCGACCTCGGAAAGAATCATCGACCGGTGGCAGTAATGCGTTACTTCCAGACTCCATTTGGACGAGGTCCTCCAGCTGAGCTATCGCATTTCAAAGGCCCTCAATTACGAAGAAGCAGGGGTTGCTCATGGCGTGCTCGACCACGCAGCACCGCTCCTGATGCTACAAGGCTTGCGATAGCTATCCATGGATGCGAGGTGCGCTTGCCGATGATTTGCGGTACGTACAGCTAGCTTCTGGAAGCAACACTTTAATACCAGCCTGAGAACCGTCCTCCTGCGGCGTGGGCATCAGTACCGAAGAACAGGGACCCGCAGCGTTAGAGCATAAGCACTGTGAATTACGGGGTGACATCACGTCTCCGTGCATCAAGGAGGATTCCGGTCGGCGGTAGGCGGATCGTTGTCCTGGATGTTGCTGTGCTGTCCTTGGAACGTTTACTTTCGATAGCATCAGAAAGCCCTACCCAGGCCGACATACGTACCTTGACTCGATGTCCCACTGTCCGTGTTGCGCTACCACGACCCGCCCACGGCTCTGGCCGGACATGGGGGACAACAGATGATCGCCGAACATGCTGCACGAATGACGGAGACTCTTGGCCATTGATAGGGCGGCGACCCAAGGATACTGAGCATGACACGGGCCGACAAACAGTGACTAGAAGGAGACCGTACGGCAGAGGACTGTTTGGTGTAACGCAGTAGGATACGACACTGGAGGATTCTCCGTTCTTCACCCCATATAGGAATTCCGGCATGGCCAGGGGAGCGTGAAGCTTCATGGCCGCAAGATAGCAATCCGTGACGTTCAAAGCGGACGGTCAAAGCCCCTTCGACGGCTTCCGCAATCCCCTTCGCTCGACGATGACGTCCAGGGATGGGAGCATAGCGCGCGAGAAGGGCGGCGTCGCCAACGGTGTCCCCGAGCTGCCACCGGTAGCGCGTTGTCTTATGGACAAATGGAGTCGCAGAATCCAGATGCAGGGAGGCCCTGAGAGAATCCGTCAGCGAGGTACGTACACCCTATACATATAAGCGACTTACCAGAAAGCCTTGCCTGCGTATGTGCGAACACCGAGAGGAGAAGAGCTGCATAACGGCGAAGGGTCACCGGTTACCGCTGAGGGGGCGCCCACCGATCCTTCTCAGCCAGATGCGCTGGGGAAGGCTGGACAAACGCGCAGTCAAAATCAGAGCGTCCAATCGATGCTAAGGGCGGCAACGTACCGGTGAAGGAGAGCGCGTATATGAGGAGCGCGATGCATACGGACCCTTCCATGCTTGCTGGTACGGCGGCCCCTGTACGCCTGCCGCAGCGAGCTCGTCCGCCGTGCGGCTGTAGTTCTGCCTCCCCCGATCCTGGTTCCGGCGGCGTTGCCGCCACTTGATGATAAGGATGATAGCTGCAACGCAGCATACGACGACAGCTAGAAGGCGGGAGGTTAGCGAGGAAGTAAAGAGAGAGCATCGGGAGACGCACCGAGAGCCACTGCCACTGCAACAACCCAAGGTTCGTTCAAGTGCCCGTCGGGGCCGCTCTCCTCGTCTCCTTGCGAAGCTAGGGCTTGGGACTCCCTGCAAGTACGAGAACGGCATCAGTGCTGCTGCATTGTATACTGCAAGAACTCAGCGAACTCACCCTTCAGGATCTGCGCGCGTCCTCAGGGCAATTGCATTTGCAGAAAGGGAGAACGCCAGAAGGCTCAATAGATATGACGGCAGGTGCTCCATCTCCGTGGTTTCGGGACTCTTCGATGTTCGCAGTTCGCAGTTAGTGTTTGGATCCGTGCAGTCCGGTAGTCGTCGAAGAACCAGAGGTCTCAGGCGTGCGTCGAGCGAGGAATCAAGCCAAAAGGTGGGCGATGGAAGGCTGCTCCTGGGCGCGAACGTTATAAAGCAAGGGCGAGCATACTTGGCGGCGGGGACGTGCAGGGCCTGGAGGGAGCAGCGCGGCGGTTCCCATGCTCGCCAAGGGCCTCAGCTGTGGACGACTTGGCAAGCCAAGAGATCTGTCTGGCTCGCCGAGCAGCCCACCGCGGTGCCGACCAGCACAAACTTCGGCACGGCTTGCTTCGGCAGCCCATTAGCCTCAGACAAGCCCCTCACAAGAGCATAAGAGAGAGAGACGATTCACCGTGCCAGACGGGCGCGGATGGGCGGAGCCAAAGTGATCGTTGGTGGGCAGCGGGCTTGCAAGTCGCCGCGACTTCCTCCGCCTCAGGTGAGTTGGTTTTCTCCCAAGCATCTCGGCTGCGACACTGGCTCTTGTTCTTGAGTTTGCCCAGTGCGTCTCGTCGGCGCAAGCGAACAAAATGCAGAGACCATACAGCGCCGAGCGACCGCCACTCAAGTACTCAAGCGCCTCCAGAACCTCCGCGGGGGACCGTGCGAAGCGCGCGTTTAACCATCGACGACGCCCAAGTCTCCTCTTCAAAGTCCTTTCACTACTTGGTCGTCGCTATTCCGAGGTCTCTCAATATTGTTTCAATATTGTTTGAGTAGCTGCTGTAAGTACCTGCAATGTACGCATATACGCTCAAGCTGCCTGGTCATCGAAGGATTGCCCAACCTGATACGTTGAAGGTGTACTACCTCAAGGGCTCATCCTCAACTCTCACGACGGGCAAAGCACAATGTTTCGCCCTGTAACAGGGCAATAAAGCACGTGACAGGTCCGTCAAAGGTAACTTTTTACTGGCCTTTTACTTCCTATGGGCCAGATCACGGTGATATTTTACCTTTGACGGAACTGTTACTGGCCTGTTACGGGGTTCAAAATCCTGCCATGCCCGCCGTGAGATCTGTGTCAGGACATGAGGAGAGATCGCCTGGGTCAGATGCTCGCCACGCTACTCAACATCCCGGCAGCGAGTCCGCCTGCATCCGTGGCTCGTTAACAAACGGCATGAATGAGGGTTGGTGTCTCCATCACGTACTACTACTTGCTCGAACGCGTTGGCTAATGCTTCAGATCCACAGAACGGACTATGCCAGTAGAGGCTGAATCTCCTGCGACTGAGCGCGAATCTATCGACTTCACCGCTCTATCTATAACACCAGCGAGTCTCCCAGCACTCTGCAACTCGTCGCTGAGTACATCGCCGCAGTCAAGGCCGTGCGAGAGGGCTGCGCGTCCTCAAGATGTACTTCATGTCCATACCGCCGTCTTACGGTATGCCGTCTGACTCCGCAGGCGTTTCCTGGGACAACTTGGTCGACATACTCTCGGCCCACGGACCATTCGACAGTGATTATATCGCTCGAGGTCCACGAGCTGAAAGTGTTGGACGTGATGAAAGCCAGTGTGGAGGAGCTCACAGCCTTCATCATTGAACGCATCTCGTATGCGTCATGCAAGGGAGGCTCCGCATCACGGAGGACTCGGAGACCATTCTTCTGCTGGATGGTAAGTACGTGTTAAATCATGCTTGCCAGATTTGTTGCTTGATTTGCATGCAGTGAACTAAATGACATCAAGTGGCGTACTTGCTGCCTACAATACCGCCGTGGATTGTAGGCAGCAAGGCCGGTAGCCTGGCGGTTGATTCCAGTCTGACGCCAGCGATTAAGAGAAGGACTTGCGTTACTACTCGAGCCAGTACATCGCGTACTACACGTCCGTGACGTCCGTTCAAGGCGGGCGGGGTCAACAAGTCCGAAGCAGCTCGATCCGAGGAACAAATCGTCGCCATCTCTGGCGCAAGGTGCATTCACACAAGCGATCTTCAAGGAAGCAGCCCAAAACGAGCCGCGAGCATACAAGTGTGAGTGCAGGTGGGGCTCTTTGGGTTACTGGTACATATATACGCATGACTTTGCCAACCGCCGGAGTATTTATGCTTTCGTTCTAGGTGATGTCTTCCTTCGGAAGTACTATATCGTCTACCATTTCGGCCTCAACGCTGTTGGTTTCGCGGTGGCAGTTTGAGTCCCGGGTTGAGTTTGCTGGACATGCACGTCGCGTGCAAGGCTTGCAGGCTTTACGCTCGATTTCTACGCCATCTTGAATGTATGTACAGTGTAGAGTTGCCGTGGAGTTGTCGCTCTTGTATTATACAGTGTGAGTCTCCCGCGGATGAGAAGACATGACGTACTGGCAAACGCCCTTGCGCGGCCGCGACGCATCTCTGCGTGATGAGCTCAGACGCGGCTATAAACAATACTACACCAGCCGAGGTCTGGGCACCAACTTGAAAGAAGGACTAGCCTTCATGTAGAGTGCCCTAATTTCGTGGCTACCTTCAGCGCAGGGGCTCTCAGCTTGTCGCCAAGACGGTTTGCAAATCTATTGCAGCAGGCAATCTGGAGAGAGAACAAAAAAGCTTGGACGCACTGGGAATTGAACCCAGCACCCCCCGCAAACATCAGTATTAAGAACCGTGCTAAGCGGATGTGATAACCAACTACACCATGCGCCCATATCATATGCGCTTTGCAAACCAATACTATCGTGCGTAGAGTTAGTCTAGCCTTCGCGACCGGTAACACACTCACTTCAAGCTGGTAAACAATGACATACCTGCAATCCTCCCGGGCATGTTGTCTCCAGATCCTCACTTACATCAATTGAGAGCTGCAATTTACACGCAGTATTAGTGGGTTGTTTGGCGTTAAGTCCCTTAAACTTAGGTATCAGACTAAGCGCCTGCGGCCCGGGTGGTTCCGGCTCTCTTTCTCTGCCAACTCACGGGTTTATTCACGAACGTGAAGCCTGCCCACGCTTCGTGTAACTTGTGAGGCACACATGTTCGCAGCTACGATAAGGAGCAGCGCAAAAGCAGCAGGGCTCGCCAGGACCTCTCTGTCTCAGCGCGCCTTCAGCCAAACTTCAGCGCGTATGGCAGCCTCTGCATTCGCACAACAAGGGAAGAAGGTGAGTATACTGTGCTTCCGCGGTGTAGTCTGACACGTACAGCTGACGATGTGTTCCTACAGATTGTGGCTATTGGCCGCAACTATGGAGAGCACGCCAAGGAGCTGAACAACGCCATCCCGAAGGAGCCCATCATCTTCCTCAAGCCGACGACCAGCTACCTTCCATCCGGAGGGAACGTAGAGATCCCCAAAGGGGTGCTCGCTCACTATGAAGGTCATCACACTCTGTGCCCATGATGGTGACGCTACTGAACATGCAGTCTTAGTCGAGCTTGGTGTCGTCGTGAGTAAACGTGGCCGCGATATTCCCGAATCCGAGGCGGAGAGCTACGTCGCGGGTTATGGTATAGTACCCTTGGATTACACTGGATCTGTAGGAGAGACTGACTCGGATCTTCGCAGCTCTCGCGGTCGACATGACTGCACGCAACCTGCAAGAGGAGATCAAGGCCAAGCGACTGCCATGGACTGTTGCCAAGGGCTTCGACACTTTCACGCCCATCAGGTATGACTCTACTTACTTAGCATCGATGATTTCGTAGATCTTCTCTCATGGAATGCTCGGTTAGCTCGTACATTCCGAAGGACTCGGTCGCTGACGCGGCCAATCTTGGCCTCACCTTGAAGGTAGCTAGAACCGAGTAACGCTAGTCTCTTGGCGGCCTTGCTGAATCCACGTTGTGTTAGGTCAACGGCGCGGTCAAGCAGGATGGGAACACCAAGGACATGCTTTTCTCCATTCCTCGCCTTATCCATCACATCTCCACCATCATGACTCTTGAGGTGAGCTTCTTCTGATCCAAGTGAACGTGCTGCTCACTGACCTTTGTAGGAGGGAGACTTGATCCTTACCGGCACGCCGTCCGGCGTCGGTCCAGTCGTACCGGGGGACAAGGTCGAGTGTGCGCTCACCGACAGCACCGGCAAGCAACTCGCGACGCTCGACTTCAACGCCGTCCAGCGCGAGGGCGGATACCACTACAAGCCCGAGTGAGCTGGAGGAGAACCTTCAGTCGCCTGCGTGTGTTCGCCCATGGATATCACATCTACATATCATTCACAGAACGTACACTACTGATGAGGCATGATCTGATCAAACCGCGTGCAGACAGACAGGCAGTGAAACAACAGACAGCAATCTACTACATGGATACGAGTCTCGACAGCAATACGGGCACTAACTAACAAGGCGGTAGGAATACAGTACTCGAAGCGTACAGCGATCTAGTTGTCGCGCGCAGTCCGTTCGTCCGAGTCCCTGCTGACCTCTCCCGACCTGCGCTCCGCCTCGTCAAAAGAGCTCGTACTTGACACGCTGGCGAAGCTCCAGCTATCGGCGCCCGTGGGCGTCAGGGTGCCATCGTCCCCGAATGAATCCGAGCCTGCGCTCTGAAAGTCACCGAATTCTCCGAAGGACTCTGCCATGAAATCGTCTGCAGTAGTTGTCGAGAAGGTGAACGGGTCGGCGCCGCCGGCAGCAGCCTGGTCGGAGAAGGGTCCGAAGGTGTCCTGATTCGGTGATGTCAGACAGCATACCCATACACACAAATACAAGGGGGACACTCACGTCCTCGAACGGGTCTTGGAAGCTGGCATGCGGGTCCGGAGAGGAAGACGAGCCGAACGCGTCCTGGAGATATATTGGGTCAGGTCTACTTGGGGTGCCAGGACCAAATGCACTTACATCGAAGCCACTCGCGCTAAGTGGTCTGCGGCCGTTATCATGTTGACGTGCGGTCACTGGTGGGGGTCGCAACTCGAATGTTGACTGCGCTAGCCAGCCTCCTCCCTCATCTTCGTCATCGGAGGCTTCGTCCGAAGAGCCTGTGTGGTCAGAGGACTGGATTTCGTGGACGAGGTAGTTCGCAAACTGCGGATCAGTCAACTCATGCACGACCAACTTAAAAGGAAAACGGAGACGCACGCGAGAAGAGGTAGAGTGGAAGTCGTCGTCCTCGTCATCTATAGGCATAGAGCCAAAGTCGGCGCTACCTTCCCTCCTACTTGATGACCTGCGGAACTCGCCCTTCATCTCCGGCGCAGGTTGTTTCTCACCTGCACGCCCAGGCGCTGAGGTCGCAACTGTATCAGCCTCATCGACCTTCCACTGCGCGGCGCCGTTGCGCATGGAGGGGGCGACAACGGGCTTTCCGCCACCAAGAAGACTCGAGTCCTTCTTCTTGGTCTCTTTGTATCGACCGGTGACATACTCGTCCCACTCAGGCTGCGGTGCATGTTGGCCGATCTGCAGGCGAAGATCTGGCGGAAGGTGCTCGAGTGCGCCAATCACGTCCTCCGAGATGAGAGTGAGATGTCCCATGTATCCTAACCTGACACCTTTGGGCTTTTCGCTACAAGCGCCTGGTTCAGTGCAAGACGTTCGGATCTGACATGACTCGGACGTACCTCTCAACATCATTCCGTTTTGACCCTTCAATGATACGGTGCATAAGCCTCGCGTCACGGAACAGCGAAACGGTCATTTCCCGGTTAAAGCCGCCATCGACGCGACCAGTAAGAATCTGGTGTATGAGGTCGTACACGACACTATGCAGGAAGTTGTTCCATGGGAATTCGAAGAACAGATCCTATATGGGCACACAATCAGCGGCGGCCTTAACAGACAATATGAATGGACTCACCAACAGTGTCGACGCGACGTTCGCCTCGAGGAATCGCTGTTTGAGGCGTTCACCGAGAACCGGGCGTCCAATGGGTAACTCTCTCGTCGATCTCCTCACGCTCCGACGAGAATCCCGGGACCGCGGTCTAGAAAGAGGACCTTCCGGCTCCGAGTTCCAGGAATTCTGCCGTTGTGGGAAGGAAGAGATGTCACCTGGGCTGGTTGACGGGGCAGGAGAAGAGGGCGATAGCGTTAGAGGGGATGCGACCCTGGCGAGGGAAGAGCCGCAGGATGGTTCTTGAGGGGTGGGACTGGGGTCGGCTCTAGGTGACTCGTACATCGCGATCTCTTCCATGGCCTCTTCGTCCGAGCTACCGCCGCTCATGTCCTCGTCCGAGTCAATGAGCGATGATGACGGGGCATGGGAAACGGGAAATTCGTGGGCGGACTCAACCTCGTCACCTTCGTCGTCATCCATGCCCTCGCTGTCGCCACTGCCGTTGCCAATCGCGATGACTTGTGCCAGCTCCTCAAGAGCGGAAAGACCTCCTTGTAGTCGTCCGTCCGCGTCGTACAGGTGATCATAGTCAGAGGAACGGTTCAGGAGGGCCATATTTGAACAGTGGAGAAGTTCGGCGTATAGTTCGCATATCCGATACCTCTCAAACGTCAATGGAGGGATAGCTCCTATTGTCGTGAGGACCGGCCCGTTCTAGGGGATGTTGTGAATAGTCATCCACATACATGCAAGAAATACGTACCAAATAGCGCGGTTCCTTGAGGAATCGCTGGAGCTTTTCCAAGTGGTCGCACATGAGTTCCAGCACGGGTCCCAAGTGTACGACGCCCATCCTATTGACCATCTCCGTCATGGCGTTCTCCAGAGCTTCACGGGCACCGTCCTGGTTCATCGCCATCTGCTGTTGAACTTGAATGAGTCGATTTCGGAGCGTGTGGAAGAGGTAGGGCTCGAAGTAGTCGGAGTTGTTCTGCCGAATGAGCTCGATGATGATGCATATTGACTGAACAACGGAAGACGAGGCGGTTTCTTGGGTAATGGAGGCGGTGGCAGAGTCCTCCTTGCCAGAGGGGGCAGGGCCTAACTCGTAGAGGATGAAGCTGACGAGTTTTGTGACGTTGTCGCGATGAGCGAGCTCACGAGCAAAGACGTTGGACGCAGGGAGATGGTTCAGACCCTCGGAGATACCAGCGGCAGGAGATGGGGCGGCCATGGAGATGATTCCCTTGATGAGCTCTGCGACGACTGTATGCATGTCGCTACTATGAGCTGGAGACAAGAGGTCGATCAACCGCGACATCAGGTTCTCTTTGGACAACCACTGCAATTCTTGGCGTAAGAGGGTTTCGTAGAAAGGCACACAGTGCATGAGGACGGACATACTTCAAGAACCCCGGCCCCGGCTGGGTGTTCGTCCAGCTGAATTATGCGCACCAGTAGGTCCGCGAACGGCGGGGACTCTATATGTCGTAGTATTCGCTCCACAATGTCGGGTTGCGCTTGTATGAACGCTAACATCTGAGCACGGGGCTCAGAGATCACACCACACAGGACGGGTTCCAGAGATGGATGTATTCACCTCTGCGGGCTTCTTGCTCAAGAATGCGATGTTTACTTTCGCGAAATGCGAGGCCATCATGACCTGGCTACGCATCTCCTCCGGGGACTTTTCGAGAACTGTCTCCCAGAACGGAACGAGCAGCTGGTCCGGGTGATTGACGCAGGTGTCGACTATGGACCATATTTCGCTGCACAAGACCTCGGTCGCAACGTAGGGATACCTCCAGGAGGTCGAGGACTGAGCCAGCACGCTCGCCACAATCGTGACCGAAGACTCACTTGAAGCTGCCCTTGTCCTCGCCCTCAATCTGCCCTGTCACGTAGCCCAGGAGGCGCTGCAA